CCCCATTCATTCTCAAGTAGCCCCCCACTGCACGCTTTAGTTGGTCTGTTAAAACGCAATGGGCTCAGGGGAGGCGAGAGAGACTCGGACTCCCGCTGTAACTTTACCTGCTGGTGTCGCTGTTGGACAATGTTTCTTTAGAAAAACGAGTGATTTATACACCTTTTAATGTTATATTTTGTAATATTGGCATTGTTTTATTTTTGTACTACTATTTTTTTCTTATCCAATATTTTAAAGATTTTACTACGTTTATACATTTGAAGACGAGCAGAGAGTATAGAATACTAGATAAAAAAAATGAGCTCGCTAGAATACATGCATATTAACAGCGTAAACATGAATTAGCCATGCGACCATATAATATGATTAAATGTTAATAAATTAAGTGTATCAGCAATCATACATTTCTTAGAAATATATATTACCTAGGTGACGAGGATCACTCAGTCGCTTTGTGTCAAACTCAAATGCAGTTATGGGGTTTTTGACCAGCGAATGTGTGCAAATGTGCATTTTGTCCATCATTAAAACGGCGGCGTTACGTTTTCGTCACCAGGTGTTTGTTGTAGCTATATGGGCGCAGCACTCCGTTTCAAATACATAAATTATGAGCCTTTATAGACATAGTGTTTCTTGCGTAAATAAAACGCTGTACTTATATCTTTTTTTACCCTTGCAGACCTAGTTCAGCTGCTGTGGAACTTCAGTTCATTCAGTCAAGATAGAGGGGGTGGAGTTATGAGGTTTACTGACAGTTTGAGCGGATCCAACAAGATTTAGTCACAAGCTCTTTTTAATACCTTTCATTAGCTAAATATTTGTAAAGCAGACAGACAGATGTAAAGGGTGACCAATATCATTGATTTATTGAAGGAAAAAAAAAAGAAGAATTCACACAAAAGAATAAAACAATGAACTATATCCTTCAAAATATACAGTAAATAAGAAAGTAAACACTTTCTGAGCTTCGCACCTTAACATTAATCAGGCTTGTTTGACTGTTTTCTTGTCATTTCGTTTTGGTTTTCATTAGCAAGCGGGAAATCCCTCTGATTCTAAGATCATAATTACAGTCTTTTCAATAAAGTTCAGGGCCATTAATGTATAATAGAAACATCATCTCTCTTGCCTCATTCTCAGGAGATCATCATAACAAGAACAAGAATGTATGGCCTCTGTGGGCTTTGTACAGTATGTTTGAAAACACACAAAGAGTTTCATTTTCTTAGGATGTTTAGGATGTGAGTGATATCTAATTAATGAATAACCTATATGATCTGTGCTGTGTATTTTTGCACAAGATTGCGCACAGCTTTTCTTCCATACTGAAAATCAGTGGAAATGTGGATGGATTCCAGTTGAAATGTTGCCTATCCATTTAGTTATTCAATAATCCCCCGCCCCCCCACCCACCCCCTCACAAATTTTTGAGTCTGGTTTCTGCACAGAATTATTTTTTTTGCCTTGTATGAGTGCAACTTAGAGGGAACACTGGTGCCTTATGAGGTTTACTGACAGTTTGAGTGGATCCAACAAGATTTAGTCACGAGCTCTTTTTAATACCTTTCATTAGCTAAATATTTGTAAAGCAGACAGACAGATGTAAAGGGTGACCAATATCATTGATTTATTGAAGGAAAAAAAAAACACCATCACCAAAAAAAGGGCACTTCGGCGTGTAAGGGCAAAAAGGGCATGTGCTCTGCACAGGTTGAGCCCTACCTGTACACGCGCCTGTTCACGAACAAGAACCAACTCATTAGAGTCGTTTGTGTGGGAATCAGACTGTACATGGTTGCACTTTATGTGTTTGATTCACTAACATGAACCAACTCATTAGAGTCGTTTGCTCAAGAATCAGACTCTACATGGTTGCACTTTATTGTGTTTGATTCACTAACATGAACCAACTTATTAGAGTCATTTGCTCAAGAATCAGACTATACATGGTTGCACTTTATGTGTTTAATTTGCTAACATGAACCAACTCATTAGAGTCAATCGTGTGGGAATCAAACTACACTGGTTGTGCTATATGTGTTTGATTCCCTAAAAAGAACCAATTCATTAGAGTCATTCATTCAAGAATCAGACTACATCTG